AATCCAGCCATGTATGCCTAATACGCATATCATTATACCACTACACACACTAAGCACACATACGTCTGTATTGATCCCAAAGTAACGATATAAATACAGTGTTATACATCGCCACTCAATTGTAGAGTAAACTCCACTGAATAGCCACTGCAGTGAAGATGAACAAATAGTGTGTAGATTGAAGCGCCACTCCGTTAGAACTAAAAATGAACTGATTTGTTAAGGATTGAAAAAGTTAATCGTTTGACATACTGGCAGGATTTCTAAAGTGACCTCTGTTCAACAATTAATTACTCGGACACTAGACATGTAAATGAAGTTTTGTTTAATCTAAAAGTTGCTCAAAGGTTTGGTTGAGGCATTCCTAGAGTTTTTTAAGTCTGACTCTTAAGACTGATTTTTAAGAAGAGTTTTAGATGTCATTTATAAAAAGTCAGCCAAGAAGTTGATCAGTAGGTTAATTAAAAATTATTTAATAATATAAAATAGATTAATTTTAAATTACTTAAATTACTATCAATTCTAAAGAATAATTTTATATGAGAATAACTTATACACAAACCTGAATGGCGTCGGAATCGTAATTATACGTCAATTCACTCATTGTCTGTTGGGCTAAAAGTTTACAAATGATAATAAAATATTAGTAGATAGTAAAATATAGTACAATAACTTGTCAATTAGTTAGTTTAACAACGATTAGTAAAGTAAATCTATTATACAAAATTAGTTGCTTGTTCAATAATATGATAAATTAACAAAAAATAGTTTATCATGCTTATAAGAACTTCAATTATTATAAAATAAAATGTAACTATAAAGTAACTATAATGTAACTTCAATTATTATAAAGTGCACGAATAATATGTTTATAACATAGATTCTATAGATAGATACAAACTTGTAAGTTACAAATAAAATAAAAACAATAGATATACTGTATTTAATATTTGACTAGTATTTCAGTTATAAAATAAGAAATTCTTACCTTTAATACAATTTATAACTCAATAGACGCAAACAATAATTGTAAAATAAGTATATAATTAAAGCAAATGTCTGTTTCGACGGCTCTTTATATAAGTTTGTAAATTGCGTGATTCAACCAAATAAATGTAAAATAAAACAGACACTCAAAAGCACGTTAAGAAAATGCACTAACAAATAATGCTTTGAAGGTTTTCTGGTGCAAAATACATCTTATTTTAATATATTACGAGTAAATTACTAGCTCAATAGAAGGGCCTATAATTAACAACCAATTTGACAAACATACGCCTATTATATACATATTTAAAAACATATTCTGAACGTGTTTATTTATTATTGATATTAAAGCGATATACCGTATAGACACACCCTTATTCCCATTGAAACCCATACTAAACTCTACCCATAGCTAACCCCCCGTATATTTCGCTTCCCCCACTTTAAAGGCACCCCAACACTGACCACATTCCAGGGCTGGGTATAAATACCACAGCCCTGTCCACCCATAGAGTCAGTTATAGCTACACCATAGAGAGAGTCATTAGACTTCTCTCTACACTTAAGCTCTACCATTGTATAACCTTTTATTTTGTACTTTTTATTCTTATACTAAATGATTGACAATAAATAGTTAGTATTGTTATATTGTTTGTGTTGTGTTGAGTCGCCAGCGGTGCGCGCAAGCCGTCGGACAGGTGTGTCACATAACCCCAGAGAATACGGTAAGTGTCGCCTATGGGAGTGCAGCTCCGGTAAGTTTATGCCTGTTTCCCCCCTTTTAATGCTATTTACCCCCAATTATTAACCAACATATTGTAATATATTTTATAATATATTTATTCAGAAGATAGAAAATTTTATTTTATATCAGTAAAACTCAAAATGGTTTTCAGATAAAAGTGGTCACTGCAACCAAACCCAATGTCAGATGGTCATACTACTATATTATAGTAGTCAAAACTATACTTAAAATTTTTAGTCAACAATTTCCAATTGCTCATTTGACATTTATTAATATTGTGGTGGTTTTTTGCTCTCTATAAATTATAGATTATAAATTGTCCCAGGGTTGGAATTTTAGTAATAATAAGCAGCACAAAAGTCGACGTATATTATACTGTATATAACTGTACTGATTTAATGCTTCATATCATTAATTAAAAATTTATTTTGGTTTAATAACGTAGTTACTATAACATTTTCAAGTCAATTATAATTTAAATAACTTTAATATAATTAATCACAAATAGTTGTAATTAAAACTAAGTTTAGTTGATTATATATTTATTATATTAAAACTATTTAATATCTACATTATCTGACAGCTACTAATAGCTATTTGCGGACACTCGGATAGCTATTTTTTAAATGAAACATGTGCCATTGTCATTGAAGTGTTTTATAAAAATATTTATTCTAATATTTTGTCTTTAATTATATGTAAAAAATAATTTCATATCAATTGTGACGGATTGTCACCAAATGGGCGAACAAAACACATAATAGATATAATATTGTGGACAACATTTAAGATGCAGTGACTGCCAAATTGATGGCCATATAATTGCCAACAAATTTTGAAACATATTTTGATACACTTTGAAAATAAGTAACAATCAATTTTCGGATATTCTGTAATGACTAAAACAATTTTAGTTTTACTAATATAAATAGTTTTAATCTCTTTCAATTCAATTAATTTCTGTTCAATAGTAATTATTGTTAATCAAAATATTGCTAATTATTAGCATGGTCAATCTGTTGTGGTATGAAATTTAATTTAATTAGCATTAAATTATTTAATTTTACTGTTGAAACCATAATAATAATATTAACATTACTTACAAAACCAATTCTGTGTATTACTTTTTAAATTGAATTTTTGAATAATTAAACTTTTGAATAAACTTAAAATAATGATAATTTTTATTTAATCTATTATAATATTAATGTAGCTGTAAATGTAGCTTAAATGATTGATATTTACTAAATATTATTTAGTTTGAATGTCACTTTCAAGTTTCAACACTATTACAGTACAGTATTAGTAATAATTTATTACTTTTGATTGTAATGATAGTACGACCCCTCAAGTGGTCAACATTAATAGTACAGTGAAGTAACGTTAGTATTACATAATGTTTGGTCTATTGGTAACCAAATAAGCAATTGTTGAGTGATTTAAATGATTGAATTAAATGTTGTTTCATATGAGATGAATGAGTGGTTGAATGAGTGGATGTGATGTGTTTGGTATGACTGACACAATGGCTGTTGTAATACATGTAGTGAACTGAAGGTAGAGTTAGTTGTGATGAGTGACCAAATGATACTCAATAGTGATGTAATTGAATGACTGGTCTAATAGACTAATAGACATACAATCGCTTCAATCCATCGCTTAATTGCTGTCATTGTGAACTGAAGGTAGAGTTAGTTGTGATGAGTGACCAAATGATACTCAATAGTGATGTAATTGAATGACTGGTCTAATAGACTAATAGACATACAATCGCTTCAATCCATCGCTTAATTGCTGTCATTGTTATCGAAAAGAGTGAACCGATTGTGAAATATGTTGAATGTCTCGCAAATGCATAGTTTGCGAGAAAATAGCGATAATTACACAAACATAACGATTCTGAGCCGACCCGTAGTGCCTGTAGTGACTGAGTCCAGTCCTCACGTCAGCGCTGGTCGGCAACCAAATGCATCCAAACCCGCACTCAACACATCCAACACTTCCAACACATGCATCGCTAACCAACACATAAATCACCCAAACCTATCACAACCACCACAACCACCACAACCACAACAAGCATCACAAGCAACACATTCAGCACAACCACAGCCACAATATGTGGGAAGCGATCAAATTGGGAGCAACACTGAGTGTGCGGTGGAGGACAAGTCGCCGATGTGTCAAATCAATGAGATTTGTAGATATAATAACATTAAACAGGAGTACCTTCTCATAGAAGAGTTGGGTCCGCCTCACGACAAGACATTTACCGGTTTGTTGTTTCACACAATCCATTGCTTATTCAAAATGTTGACTCATTTATCATTGTTTGCTTTCATATGGACTGCCCTTCACTGCCATTCACTAAACAACAGTTGCATTAAAGTTAGGTTCGAGTGAAGAATATCGTGGAAGCGGTCCATCGATAAAGAAGGCGCAGAGAAGTGCCGCCACTTCGGCTCTCCTGCGGACACAACTGAAACACCCGACGCCCAGAGCTGTGAAGAATGGAGATAAGAACGTATGGCCGCTAACGCCTACCGTTGAGCTCAATGTGTTGGCCATGAAATTGGGTCAAAATGCTGTCTATGAAGTGTATGAACCGCCGCCACAACAGACGCCCACCTATTCATTCGGTGCCATCGGTTCGGCGCCCATCACTGCCACCAATGCCTATGACTTCCGAGGCATGCATTACCAACGCTATCGCGTGCCCCGAGGCCTATACTCCGCCACTTTGACTATCGGTGCCAAACAGTTTACAGGCAAAGGCCGTACGGCTCAGGCGGCCAGACATTCAGCCGCAGACGAGGCACTGAAAGTACTTCGCGAAACAACTCTTCCATCGCATCAGTTGACGAGTGTGTCTCTGAACGAGAGTGAGGGCACCAGTGCTGACACCAGTGCTCACACTTTGGCCGACAATAGCATTAAGTCTCCCATTAGTGTAGTCCATGAGATGGCTCTTCACAGGAATCTGATGGTCCGCTTCGAAGTGATCGACGAGAGCGGGCCCTCACATCTGCCTGTCTTTGTCACCCAATGCACTGTTGGAGAGATTGTGACCAAAGGTGAGGGCAATTGTAAACGAGTGTCAAAGACCTGTTCCGCTCTTCGCATGATTGAAGAACTCCGCAAATTAGTGCCAATTTCTCCACCCATTCCTCAAACGTCACACCCATTGGATCCAAACACAGAAACCCAACACAACGACAATAAGACCACTTTTACCGCAAACAACGGCAATCGATCCGATGCTCGCAAAAAGTATTTAAATCACAAAAAACATAAAAAACATAACAATAATAAGAATATTATTAAAAGTCATTCAACTTCTGAACTCAAAGAAATACAAAACGATTTAAATTTGAAAAATAATTGTGAAATGAATACTAATTCAGAGAATAATTTAAGTAATAATAACGAGAAAAGTGAAGAATTGAGTGTAGAGTGTGTGTCGAGTGACGGGTTGGGGAACGGGAATGAAGAGAACGAAGGGAACGATGGTTGCAATGGTATTCATCCGATCAATCGACTAATTCAGTTACAACAGGCGCGCAAAGAGAAAGAACCGCAATTCACACTGTTGTCCGAGCGATGTCTGGACCGACGGCGCCGTGAGTTCACTATTGAATGCGTGGTCAATGTGTCTAAAGGCTCGAACGCACCCCAAATGGTATCAGCAGTTGGTTTGGGACCCAATAAGAAACTGGCGAAGAAAAACGCGGCCGAAGCTATACTCCAAGTGCTCGGCTATTCATCCAGACCTCAACCCCAGTCTATACTAAAGCAAGACTCGGCTGAAGGCCAGTCGTCAGCACTTCATCACAAAAAGATAAGACAAGTGAAGTTCGTTGAAGACGACGGCAATTGCGGTACAGGTTTGGCGGACATGACGTGTATTCATTCGGCACCCAAATTGGGCCGTCAACTCGTTCCCGGGCTAATACTTATGCCCACCACTGATACCAGCGTTCATCGAAACTTCAATAAACCTCACGACACCTCTGACCCAAATTCTCTGACACACTCTAAAGGTATTTATTTTTTAAATAGTTTTGTCTATTATTTTATTCAATACAATCTATTGCATGATTATTGGAAATTATATTTCATTTAATTTAATGCTTTTATCATTTAATATGTTTTTCATAATGCAATTTGGATTTGAAATGTAACTTTATTGTTGGCAACACATTAACAACTGCTGACATTTCAATTGTTTTAGCTCAAAATGAATATGGTGTATTTACTTTTGCATTGTTTGCATTGAATTGATTTAAAAGCATTGGACGTTTGATTTGATGAGATGTGCATTACCTGTCATTACCTGTCATTAACTGATATAATATTTATGATATTCAGAGACCACTGGAAACTCGAATGGAAAGAAGAATTTAGAGGAAATGTCGAATCAAGTAAAATGTATACGAAATTTGGCCAAAGAGTTGTTGGGTATGAATGCCATGAATGGCTGCCAAATAGAAGAGTTGAATGAAGACAATCGTGTGGACCAATTGAAGAGTTTGTCTCAAGCGATGGGTTGTCATGTATTTCAAGTGCATTTCAGTGATTTCCCTAAAAAGCAAACAAACAACCAATCGATTGAATACCTGTCAGTCGTCACAATCACTACTCTTTGGAGTGAAAGACCTATTGTTAGCCACGGAAACGGCGTTTCACAAGAGGTGGCCCGCAATCAGGCCAGTCATCAGGCGCTCATTGCTTTGTCTCAATTAGATTTAACACAATTCACATAGAGTTTATCGTCAGTAATAAGTCCCCACCTTTTTTTACTAATTAAAAATTTGGTTCATTATATTTTATATTTGACTTTTGTCTCAATTGTTAATATAATGTATTTTTATAATTTTACTTATTTTTATAGACAATATTTAGTTATAAATGTTATTCTGAGTTAAAATAACTTTACCTTAAGTTTTGGACATTGAATATAACAAAAAATCAGTTTTAATTATTCAGATTAATAGACATTATTTTTAGTGCAATTTACAGTTAATAAATATCTCTTAATTTGAACATTATTTATAATTATAATTAATGACGATAATTTACGTTAATTAAACAGGTATTGATAGTATGGCCAGTAATAGAGACTAAGTGGAATATTTATATTATTTATACTTTTAAATAATTTTCGATATTTTAGTTAATACTTATTTTTCGTTGTGAATATACATTATTTTACTATATTATAAAATAGAATATTAATGTTATATTATAATTATTAAGAAAATATAAATTGTCATTTGGACTAAGAACCTTCTCTGTATCAAGTGTATTGCATTAAGTTAAGTTATTAATTTGGTTCTTTAATGCATTGGTTTACTTGAATTGTTCTAAAAAACCTTTCTATTTGTTATATTGTTTTAATGTAGTTTTATTTTATAATTAAAAAATATAAAATAAATTATAATTTATAAATGTTTTTAATTTGATTAACAATTATTTAAATGTTGTTTATATTATTTAAATTTTGTGACATCTATTTAAATAAAATTATTAACACATTTACTTGATTTATACTCAGGCTTTTCAACTTCGATATCTTTGTCACCTTGGGTAGTTGCGACAAGGTTTTTGTTTTACACTGGAATTTTTAAATTTTGAATTTAAAATATAAAAAGTTTAGGTGTGCCAGCGTTACCCGAGAAACACCACATAGAGGTCAACCTAATAGTTTTTCACCAGTTAGCCATAAAAAGCTTAAAAACTATATAGTTCAATC